CAGTAAAGAGCCACATCCTGCAACCACTGAGCCTGTGAGTGATCTCTTGTAGAAATGTGTTCATTGTCACCAGACTGCCTATGGCAGAATGATGAAGATGGGAGGTTTTAATGCTTTTTCCCAAGTGGACACGCTGAACCTTCAGACTTCTGTTTTTCCAAATGAAACTTGCTCCTTTTCATTGGCCCTGATGTTCAGTGGTTAGATTTTGGGTTTAAAAAGGACATTTTTTGCTGTAGGATTGATTCATGCATGCTTTGAGGCATCGGCAGGTTGCACGAGAGCCTGGGGTGACGCAGCTCTTCCACTTTGGCATCCTTTGGCTGGTGACACTTGTCCAAGGCTAGTGGCCTTGTCCAAGAGGTTGGTAGAATGGCCTCATCTGTGGGCACACAAAGATGAGACAGTAAATCTGTCACTGTAAGGACTGTTCCAGCCATCCGGCACCTTGATTGCAGCCTGGTAAAGAATAGCTTGAGACCGGAGGTATCCCTCCTCTCCCCTTTCACTGAGTGAGTCCTAATGGTAATGAGGCAGAGGGCTTGAAGGTAAAACCAGTTCTCATTGCCCTCTGACTGGTCAGGGATGCTTTTCTTGCCGCCTGGGTCACTCTGGGAGGTAAATCACAGCCGCGGTAGAGGTTGGTGTGTTTGTCCCTGGAGGCCCGTGTCTCCCAGTGACCTTCTCAGCTCATGAAGACAGCTTGGCTTTGCTGTAAAGCAGCTCATGTGACAGCAGTAATCCGCAGCTAGTACCCAGCTGTGCAGGAAGATTGCAGGGGAATCGCCCTATTTTCCCTGCACTGCAGACCCTGGCAGCCCAGCACAGGAGAGCAGGATGTGGCTTCTGCTTGCTGCAGGATGCCTGTCGTCTCTTTGGCTGCCTGAGCCCATACATCAGCAGGTTGGGATGCTTGGAGCTACAGCAGCCCCTGCTGCAAAGCCACGCTCCCAGGTCAGGAGCACACACGTCCTTCTGTGAGTCAATGGGAAGCTTTGAAATAGGTTCTTAGGAGAAAAAAGAACATTTTCAACTGAAGTGGCATTTCTAAGCCTGAATTTATCTTGTTCCTTCCACCTCCCATATCCTTTGTCTTAATTTATTCCCAGGTGTGTCCAAATTCCTCTCCAAGTAACACTTTGTGGTGACTTATGTCGGCCCCTTCTGCTCCAGGGACACTTGGCCACTGATGGACTTTTGCCATGTGCCCTACAGAAGGTTAAAGTGTGTCCCTGAGAAGACACAGACTGCGAGAAGGGAAAGACTGAGGGAGCAGCAGCTTGGGTTTGGTTTAAAATTAGTCATGGTATTACTTGTTATACACAGCTTACAGACTGATGCAGACTTTCTGATAATGGCTTTAACCTGCCAGAGGGGAGACTGAGATGAGCTCTTAGGCAGAAACTCTTCCCTGTGAGGGTGCTGAGGCGCTGGCACAGGGTGCCCAGAGAAGCTGTGGCTGCCCCATCCCTGGCAGTGTTCAAGGCCAGGTTGGACACAGGGGCTTGGAGCAAGCTGCTCTCGTGGAAGGTGTCCCTGCCCATGGCAGGGGTTGGAGCTGGAGGAGTTTTAAGGTCCTTTCCAACACAAACCAAACCATTCTATGATCCTATGGGTTTGCTGCCTCCTTATTGTCACAGATCCCTGATCTTCCTCATCTCCATTTCCCCCACAATTTTAATCTTCGAAACCTCAAATGCATCCAGAGGGAAGTTCAGTGGGCAGGGGCTGGCGCTGACGAGTGGAAGGAGCTGATGGCAGCTAAAGCAGGCAGGCTTGGACTGAGATCCGGGCTTGTGCAGCCAGAGGTTCCTGCACTGCGCAGGCAGCAGCAGCCCTAAGCTGCCAGCAATTTGCCTCGATTCCCTCCAGGAAGGAGGTGCCTTTGATCAGGTAGGCAGCAGTTGCTTTGTACCTGTGTAATCCCTTGGTTTCTCTGCCAGAAACCACCAGCAGTGTGTTTGTGGCTTCAATAACTTGTCCACCAGTGGCCTAAGACAATCCCTTATTTCATGTAAGCTACAAACCAGCCTTCAGAAGTGGCCATCTGTTACCACTGGTCTATGACAGATTTGAGCACGAGCCCCACAGTGAAAGGCTCTCTCTGCTATTCCCCTGAGCCGGCTAATCTCTTCCCTTCCACCCCTTCCCATCAAAAACAGGAGGAAAAAGAGAAAGCTTTGTACTCCCAAGCATTAGGGGGCTCTAATTGGTGTGTGCACGACAGGACCACTGCGTTTAAATGGTGAGCATAGAGCTAATGGAAGCTGAGCTTTATTGCTGGCATAAATATAGTGTGTTCAACTCCTTTGAAGTCACAGGGAGCAGCAGCCGGGGGTGCTTGTGTTCGATTAAACCCCATCAGTGGCTTTGGCCTGTGGTTGTTCCCTGCTGCTCTGACCCATGGATGTGTTACTATGTCCTTGTGTGCCAGATCTTCTCAGAGGTTCCTGGTACAAAACAGGGTCCAAGTAGCACTTCCAAATAGGAGTTAAGAGGTTTGAAGTCTCACAGGAAATAACCAGGACTTGGACTTGGCTGAGTTTTGGGCTTGCTGCTGTCAGGGATGTGCTTCCTTGCTTCTGGTGTGACGGACCTATGGTCTGAGCTAGAGCAGCCTTCCCTACAGTCAGTGAATGGGACTCTGGTCTGACAGGCTGAGAGAGCTGGGCTGGTTCAGCCTGGAGAAGAGAAGGCTCCTGAAGGGGAGACCTTAGAGCAGCTCCAGTGCCTAAAGGGGCTGCAGGAAAGCTGGAGAGCGGCTTTGGCGAAGGGCCTGTAGGGACAGGTCAAGGGCAATGGCTTTAACCTGCCAGAGGGGAGACTGAGATGAGCTCTTAGGCAGAAGCTCTTCCCTGTGAGGGTGCTGAGGTGCTGGCACAGGGTGCCCAGAGAAGCTGTGGCTGCCCCATCCCTGGCAGTGTTCAAGGCCAGGTTGGACACAGGGGCTTGGAGCAAGCTGCTCTAGTGGAAGGTGTCCCTGCCCGTGGCAGGGGTTGGAACTGGATGAGCTTTAAGGTCTCTTCCAACCCAAACCAGGCTGTGACTCTGTGAATCACCCACAACAGATGCAAAGCAGGAAGGATTCTCCATCCACCACAGCTCCTTTCACTCTCAGGAAGCACTTTCCAGCCTGTTGCGTCCTGCCCGGGCAGCCACAGGACAGGCTCTTACACAAGCGGCTGCTTGATTCTTCTTGCAGCTTTTGTCCATATGGGTGCATGTGCCACAAGTCTCCCCTTTGCAGGCCACTGCATGCTGGTGGGATCCACTGGGACAAAACACCTGGAAAACCCTTGCTTCCTGCAAAGCAAATGGTCATTTCTCTCCCTGCACCCATCATTGCCTTCTCTTGGCATTCAGAGAGGCTTCCAGCCACCTAACCAATGTTCTTGTGCCTTCAGTCACCAGGCCAGAGTCCAAGCTTGTTTTTCTATCAACAGATGTGCAGGGTTTAAAAGGGAGGAATCTGCCAGAGGCAGTAGCATACCAGGAATAAGTACTCCTGGGAGAGAGAGCTAGGAATCCATCCCACTTGCTGTGCAGCCCAGACAGTGGATGACAGTGGTGTGTATGTGAAAAGGAGGAATGTGGACTGTAAAAACTTGCTCTTTACATGATACATTCAACGCCCGAGTTGTGTGCTCACCATGATTTACTGCTTACCTTGCTGAGGATGGGACGCAGAAGAAAAAAGGGGAGGATCTGTGCCAGATGGGTATGTGGTCCTATGAAGAGGACAGCCTGCAGACACCAAAGCACTGTGACACTTAACACCATTGCAATGAGAGGATGTGCTGGTTTGTAGCAGGGATTGCTTTTACAGTTAGCTTGGAAGGATATGCTTTGAAGAAGAGGGAAAAAAGGACTGTTAAGGTGTGCATCTACCCCTTTTTCCCCCAAGAAGAAACGAAGAATGCTTACCTCCTTCTAGCTAGTGCTGGAACTAAAACAGGTAAGGCTCAACCAGAGTTGCAGCTTTCCATATCTGCAAGGTAAAGCTTTGAACAGCTTCCCAAGGCGTTATCCTCCTCCAGAAGCTGTGCACCTTTCTGGGCTGGAAGTTCATGTCACTTCTCTTGGGTTAAGAGCACCATTTCACCCATCAGAGAGGTGTAGGGGATGGGAGTGGGGCACTGGGGGAGAGAACCCATCACTTTGGACCCATTTGTTGGCCATGAATGTGCACTCTGTTGTAGCAGAGAGGCTCCAGCGGACCAAGTCAGGGAAATGCTGGGAAAATGGTTTTTAGATGAAGCCAGGGACTATCTGGTTACGTATTACCTTACTACCAGAACAATAGCTGCTTTATAGCTCCGTGTGCTAAATGCTCTGTAGTATATGCTAATGTTCGTGTTCGCATGTGATCTGTTGCGCAGCATATGAACTTCTGAAACTCATTGAGATCCGAGTCTGTCCGAGCCTTAAAAATACATCAAGTTCCTTTCAGAGGACAATGCGCGCCTGGATTTCATGAACTTTCCAGCCTTGTGCTCTTGGGATACATAGAAATGTCACTTTGGCACCATTTCTGCTTCTCATTCATTTCTCATCCCTCTACGTGGGGGAATAGTGGAGAGCTTTACTGGAGGTAGCCTTAGCTTCTCCAAGATGGATTTTACTACTCTCACTTCAGTGCAGCCATTTCTCATCAGGCCCCTCTGGTCCAATTGAACCTTTCATCTGAATAGTTGTAAAATGCAGTACAAATACCTGCAAGTATCTTATATTTGCCTCCCCCTTACTCTACCTCCCACTTATGCACGTAATGTTCTGTATAGAGGTAGAAATGTTTTAGTTACTGTGCCTAATATTGGGGTGTTACTCATATGCAAACATAGTAATTTCTACTCGTATGTGGACACTGAGTATTTTAATTCACTTAGTAAGCAAAAAGCTGTATTTCTTATGAATATATTATTGACCCCAATTAATCTGCCTCTCCCCAGTTGTAGTGTTTGGCTTTTGTTCAGCCTTTTACACTTGCATTTTATTGTCAGGCTTCCTAACAGCAGACTATTCAGGTTGCAAGTGGAGCCTAACAGAGTGTTCACCAGGTGAGTGGATTTTTGTGATGGTAGTTTGGAATAATGGGATGTAACTGGTCTTGTCACTTGGTCCTTTAGGTTCTTGCCTGTGGTGTTTTTGGGGTTTAAAGGGGTTGTACCCATCTGTCTGCATTTTGGTTTTCTCCTCCTTTCACACTTCCAAGGGGAAGATATCACATGTCAGATATAGATTTACATCCAGGCATCCTGTAATGGCTGTCTGAGCCGCTGCTCTGGGCATGGACACTGTTTTGGCTGTTGGGTAGAGGTCTGCAATGCCTTTGGGATGTTTGAGTATCTTACAGCCCCATCCTGTTAGCCTTAGGAAAGCTGAGCTCTCTTAATGATTACTTAAGTAAAGACTTAGAAGCAGGCAGAGCTGGGCCCAGAGCCTGTGTGTTAATAACACTCCAGAAGCAGTTCTGTGGTGATGGATGGGGTTGGGGGGGGGGGGGGGGTGTTGGGGGAGGATGTTTGGATTCTTGGATCTAATAAATGTGGCTTTCTAAAGGTTGTGGATGAGATGCAGAGTTAAAGCAGCAATGCAAAGGAGAGAAAACCCCACAAACACCCTCTCAGCACCCATTCAGCTTTAAGAAGCTATAGGCTGAATGTTGTTAACAGTAACCTAAGTGAAGTAGTAAGTGGTGCCCTGTCTCAGACAGCCCAGGAGGATACATACAAGAGCTTGTATGTGAGTGACCGTTGAAGCTTCTGCTGATGGAAGTCCACCAGCTTTTGGACTGTGGACACAACTGCCTTTTGCTATGCAACTGTATTGCCTTTATATGCTATTTCTCATTTACAAGGATGCCCAGAGTATTGTTCCTGCAGAAATTCAGCCAAATAGTTCATTAAAAAATGTGATATTTCAGTGCTTAAAAAAAAAATAAATCAATTTAAATGACTTTATTCCAAAATGGACTTTTGCCATTCAAGTAATATAAAATGTTATCAATTCTAGATGGTACCCTCTCTTCATTCTCACAGTAGCTTGTAAGAAAATCTTATAGAAGATACAGGACTCTAAAGGCTGTTTTTAAAGGTGGGATAAGAATCAGTCTCAATAGGCAATTCTTCTTCTGGAAGAGCCCCTGTAGATGTTAACAGCGTAGCAGCAAGTCAGGAAAGTATTTATGGCAAAATGTAACAGGGATCCCTATTAGGTGATTGCTCAGAAATATTAAGGTGCTAAGGGGAGACTGAGATGAGCTCTTAGGCAGAAGCTCTTCCCTGTGAGGGTGCTGAGGCGCTGGCACAGGGTGCCCAGAGAAGCTGTGGCTGCCCCATCCCTGGCAGTGTTCAAGGCCAGGTTGGACACAGGGGCTTGGAGCAAGCTGCTCTCGTGGAAGGTGTCCCTGCCCGTGGCAGGGGTTAAAGCTGGAGGAGCTTTAAGGTCCCTTCCAACACAAACCATCCCGTGATATTGCCCCCTTGTCCAATCATCATTTTAATATCTGATTTCTCGTAAGAGGAGCAGACTAATTCACTGTTAGATGTCTCCTACCTCTACTTCCTGAGAAGCTTGGCACTGATGACACTTTCTGCTCCATCTCTTTGTTGGCAGGCAAGAGATTGAAAGAAAAGCAAATCCCCACTGAAGCAGGCACTGGGGGTTGCTGTACTTCCTCTATTTTTAACTGTGTTTCCTATATACATAACTGACCATGATAGACTGCTAATCTTATCAGGTGTACCGTTCTCTCCACAGGCAAGTCAGCCGATCAGGGAAGCTTAGAAGGGTTATTCACTAAGCTTTCATCTATGGAGTCTGGTAAAAAAAGCTTTCTTTTTGCAGGAAGACGCACGCACACCTCGTGTTGTCACCTCCCCTACACACTAAATTGGGTTGGGTTTAAAGTGCCATGTCCTGGGGACCCAGGGCTAGCGTATGAGGTCTAGGTAAGAACTGAGGTTGAAGCAATGCAGCTTTACACTGCCTCAGCTGGTGCCCAGCTCCTGTTATCAAGCTCTAAATTCAGCCTCAAGACCCCCTGAAGGGGAGAGGGAAGGACAGGTAACCTTCGATCCTAGGCTGAAGGCACGAAGCTAATCCACCATCAGGATACCAGATTCCCTCTTTGCCTTCTTTCCCAAGCACCCTTTTCATGGGAGTTTTCAGCTCCATCAAAATGAGACTGAACCAGGAGGTATGGGATTTCAGATTAATCATTTCCAGTGTCAAAAGGAATTGCAGGTTTTTCCTTATGTTACTACCCTCACGGCAGATGATTGCAGGTGGAAGAGTTCTGGTAAGTCAGGAAAGGGCTGCAAAGACAGAGGTGCATGGCAGTGGTGAAGTGTCATCAGTGAAGGACACGTTTGTCACCACTGCTTGAAGACACCGAGTCTTTGCTGTGCCAGGGAAGAGTCTGAGTACCAAGTTGGCTCACTGGGATCTTCCTCTTCCCGTGGAAATGCTGGGGCTTCAGAGGAGGTAATTCCATGAGCACCTGTCTGTATGCAACTGGGTAAGTTGTATAGACCTATAGCAACAGGGACAGTAAATCAGGAATCCCAGACCCAGAGTTTTTGTCTCAAGGTACTGCAACTTAAAAAGAACTCCCAAAAAAACAACCCCAAAACTCAAAACCCCCAAAAGCTGTGGAATTGTCTTCAGGAATCTTGTTATTTATTTGACAAGGGAGAGTGATGTCTGCCGTGTCATCTTTATGGGATGAAGGCTGGGCTGCTCTATTCCCTTAGATTGTGTATTGAGCAGAGTGGGAGGTGCTGCTGTCGTCTTGCCCTGCTGTGGTCTGCTGAAAGGAGCCACAGGTAACTGAGTGGTCCCTTTGTGAGGATGGATTGCCTGCTTCTGCTGTAGAGGCAAAAGTAAAAGACCAAAAATCAGGGAGATTAAGCCAAAGGTGTTTCAGATCTTGGCTAAACTGTGACCTTTCCCTCCTTCTAGAGAGGAAGAAAATAGATATGTATCAAAATGCAATGAGCTGTCCTCTTGCAGCTAGAGAATGAAGGTTGGTCTCTTACTGGGACCTGGGGATAAATAAAACCCAAACATCCAAACTTGGGGTTTAAACGAACACCTTGATAGAACATAACAAGCATTTAGCAGTCTTTGCTGAAGCTGACTGAGCAGGAGGAAGAATGAGCCATAGAAACATGGTGTTGCACCTCTGCCTTTCTGATGGTAGAGGGCTGGAGGTCCCAGGTCAGTTAGACTTTATGGGTCATTGAGACAGCAGCTCCCATTGCTCTGAATGAGCAGAGAAGGAAGGTTCATTGAAGCACAGCAAGAGGAGCTAAGGAAAGGACAAGTCAATGACAATATTAAGCAGGTAGGTGACACCCAAGGACAATCTGAGAGACTGAGATGTGGTCATGAAGATGGGGTAGATGCAAGGAAGGAAACAGTGGCACCAGGGCTGTCCTTCCTCCATTCCATGCAGTTACTGTTGGAAATGTTGCATCTTGGTTTGTCTCCTGTGCTTATCTTCTGTTCTGAGGATAAATTAAGGCTATGAAGTAACCTACTAGATTGCAATACTCAGTTTAGTGCTCCATGGTTCAGCTTTGCTATCAAAACTTGGTGCCTTGGTGCCTTTCTCTTTATTATGGTTTTGACCAGAATAGCATTTGAAAAGAAAGATGCTGGATGATGTTGAGGTGAACCAGCAGAACAAGGGCTGCAGCAGCTTTCACATTAGCATTTGGTAGAACAATTCTTGTGTGTTGATATGAATGGCGCAGAGGATGTACGGGGGAGAGCTGTGGGTGTTGTGTGCCTAGGAAGTTCTCAGAGCTGAAATCACTGCATGGGCTTTTTGTGAGCTGTCAGAAAGCCAATCCTGATGGTGAAAATTCTTCCAGTCATCATCTTCTCCTAAGAGACATCTAATTTGAGTTACTCGTTGATGCTCGAGCAGTAGTTGGGGAAGAATAAGAAGGGCGTGCTTTCAGAAGATAGTTTGTCTTATCTTCAAGTAGGTGCCTGTGCTAAGGGATGTCTTCTGCTTCCTTTGTCACCACTGAGTGCGGTGGGATTCCTGAAATGCTTGATTTCTGCAGTGGGCTCTGGGTGAAATCCCATCCATGGTGTCGTGTCAACACCTCGGATGTCGAGGGACACCTTCAGTTTGTGGATGTTTCTTCTCTATGGTCACAGGATTTTCAGGGTAACGTGACTTTGAGAGCACTCATTTCAGCTGCTGTGACTTGAGCTTGTTAAGGAGATCTGGGTTGGTTTTCTGAGTACACATCCTCATGCCCATTGCCTGTCCTTCCCCCCACCAGAAGGCTCTCCGTTCAGTCCCCCAGAAGGGACATGGTGAAGATGATAGTTTCTGTGAATCTTGGCAAGGCAGGTTTCCATGCAAAACAATGTGGATTTAATAGAAGTCTGTTGTGGGAGCTTTTAATGTGCTTGCTGAACTGTTTTGTGTCAGCAGGAATGCACCAGGTAGTCTCCAGCACTGTGGTTATCTGTCTTGGAGAGGATGGGAATGGTCTTTGCTGCAGGATTCAGTTGAAGGACACGGTTGCTCTGCAGTTATGTACTGGTGGTGGTGTCAATACTGGTAGTCAATAATACCAGAACACACCTGACTCCGAATGAAGCTGCTCAAGGTTAGATACAAGGAAGAAGTTCTTTAATGGAACAGGTTGCCCAAAGAAGTGGTAAATGCTCCATCCCTGGCAGTGTTCAAGGCCAGGTTGGAAGGGAGCCTTGGAGAACATGTCCTAGTGTGAGGCATCGCTGCTCCTCATGGCAGGGGGGTTGGAACTGGATGATCTTAAGGTCCTTTCCAACCTAAACCATTCTATGATTCTAATATGTATGACTGTCCTTTCTAAAACCAGGAGCACAGTGGGGTGTAAGAGAGCCCCTTCTGGTTTGTCATGTTGCTAAAAGACGTTATGCGTGGCTGGGAGAATAAGGTGTATCTCATGGTTGACTGTGAGTCAAGTTTACTGTCAAGAAATACCTCTAGTGCCAACTGGTTTGCCAGTATGTCCTAGCACTGTCTCGGATTTGCTTACTGGGGATGCTACCACCAGTGGACCAAAGCTTCTCTACTAAAGGAGAGCCACTGGAATCTTGTTCACATTCAAGGCTGAAAGGGATTCAAGTGATCACTTACACCAGCCCCTTGCCTGAGCCAGCATCAGTCTTAGATGGCTCTAGAAGACCTCCAGTGATGGAGACTTTGCTCCAGAGCTTCACCAGCCTTATATTTAGCTGTTGTCTGGGTTCCACCACCACCCCCTCACCCAGTGCAGTTTTCCATGCTGTGCTTCATGTTCAAATCTTATTCTGTCCCACTATGGATAAGACTATCAGGTTATTCACTATTTATCTGCATCAGTCCTGATGTATTTCTGGACTATCCTAGGTATAGAGATCAAAGCATGCCCAGTGCTCTTTCACTGTGCTGCCCACCAAGGGCTAATGTTTCATTGTTTGGAGATCTACTGATGCATTTCCCTGCTTGAGTTGTGTGCATTAAGATGCACCCTGGTCCTTTTGAACTGTCTGTGAGAATTCTTCCATCATGTCTTCAAAAGTCACCTTTGGCTCTGTGTGGAACAGTATCTGCTAACCTGGGTGCTAGGGCCCTGTGGTGCATTCCTGAGCACAGGAATTTGGGTTGGATTGCTCAGCCTGATGCCTCTGGAGGAGGGGAAGAAAGAAGTTGCAGGAATATCTACTGTGAAATGCTACAGCTTTAGGTTGGTTGTACCTTTTCCTCGTGCTGCACTTGCTGTGATCTCAAGGGTGAAGAGGTGTTAAAGTAAGGCAGAAACAGGCACTGATGACCCTGGTCCCCTGAGCATCAACTGTCCTGGATCTCCAGGGCACTGCTCACCCACTGACCTGACCTTCTCCCCCAAAGCCCTTTGTGGTGATCTAATCCAGTCACCTGCAATTTAGGATCAAAACTGTTCTTATGCTGCTGCTGCTGCTGCTCTGCCTCCATGCCAGGTAAGATGTCTCTATCAGCCATTGTGTGATGTTTCACCTCTGAATGGTGCTGCTCTCTGGTTGCAGGTAGAGCCTAACCCTTACCTTTCTTCTCCTGGGAGCTCTAATGTCTTCTCTGCTGAAACAGCAGGAGTTTCATTATCTCCTACAGCTGTCACAGTCCCCCAACTAAAATGCAGCCACTAATATGATCTGACCCAGCAGTGGAGTCCAGCTGCAGCCGTCTCTAATCCTTTGATTCGTGGTGGCTATCTCAACCCCTAAGGCTTGCCACAGCCTTGGATTCTCACCCATTCCACTCCATGGCTTCCAGGCAGTGATGGCCATGCCATAGCCTCCTTCCCAGCAAAGCCAGCTGGTCCTCCACCAACTTAACCTGACAGGCTGCAGGTAAGTGAAATGCAGGACCTTGGTGCTGGCTCTGCCCCAGCTCTGTGTGTAAGTGTCCTTGTCCTGGAGCTGGCTCCTCATCCTTGTCAAAGACAAGTGCTGGCAGGTAGGTGAGGTTGGTGGCCAGGAACGGGTGATTCAAAGGGGACAGAGATGCCTGGGCTTCATGTCTTACCCACCACTCGCACATGGACTTTTAGGGTGGCTTCATGAAGGGGAAGCAAACACACAGCCTGGCTGCATCTTCCTGCTTGCCAGGAGCCTGTGGCCATGATCAGTTCCTCCTGGCATGCGATTCATCGCATCTGCTGAGGCAGGAGCTGTGTGGGATCCAGTGGGATCCCTCTTCCCTGACTTGGTTCTCCTGTGTTTCCCTGTTCCCAGCTCCACTGTCTTTGTTCTTCAAAGACTCAAGAAGTTGGGGGTTTTATTGTCTAATGGATTTCCTGGTTTTAATACAATTGAAAGGGTCTGAAATCCATGCTTTAGATTAACATATGCCAGCTAGATTAGGGCTAATCAGGGTGCAGGTCTGAGCAGATGCAGTGCAGGGCCAATCCTAGGCCTGATTACAGCATCTCAATGCTTTAATCGTCTCTCTCCCAAGGGCGATCAGCTCTGCTTTAGTGCACAGCAGACTTTGCAGCCCTCTCCTCCTTTGGGTTGTCACCACCCCTGGCAGGAAGGCTGCTACGTCAGATGCTGAGGCGATTTAGTTTAATCCCATGCAGAAAGGGAGCTGCGTGTTGCTGTCTCTCACCGAGACTTCCCTGCTTTCCAAGATGTGCCAAACCTTGGGTGACGTCAATCAGGGAATCCTAAAATGGTTCGGGTTGGAAAGGACCTTAAAGTTCACCCAGTTCCAAACCCCTGCCATGGGTAGGGGCACCTTCCACTAGAGCATGAACTCATCCTTTCCAAAGAAGACCCCCACTGGGTCTTCACATCTCCCCATCTTTTGGTAGAACCCGTCTTTGGCAGCACCCCTCCGCTGGCCGGTGTTCAATGTGTATGAAGAGCATGAAGGGATAAGGCTTTTCAGGTTGCACACTCTGTGGTCCAGGAGGGTAGTGGTGACTCTGCTCTTTGGCTTGGCCATGGGGAGTAGACTCATTTGAGACCTCCAGCAATCTCCTTCAGGTTAGCAATGCAAGAAACCCAAAGGGCTTAGTTGGGTTGTTGGTCTGGAGTGGGGTTTTTAGGTGCATCCCAGGCCAGTTCCCCATATCTGTGCCAGCATCTCCTTCAACCAGGATGTGCTTTATTTCATTGAAGGGTCTGATATAGGAGATTTCTTCAGGAGGGTTGAGTGTGAGCTCTCATTTCAGTGTTTTGTTTCCTGAAAACTCCCATCTATTGGAAAGCATCACGGGACCTTTTCACCTTCTGACTCCACACCATTCGTAGCAGTCAGTGCTGAACCTTCCCACCAGGAAAGCAATTCCTCCCTTGGGCTGTGAACTGCACAAGTGTGGTTTGGGGATCTCCTGGTGTGGGGCAGCCCTTTGGCTGGGTGGATCCTGACATTTTCCAACCCTCAGGGTGCTTTGAGATCCCGAGAGGAGGGATGCTGAAGGGCTCCAAGGCTCACTGTGCTCTGCTGGGGTCACCCACCTGGTCAGCACGATTAACTCGTAAGCTTTCCTGTCTGTACTGGAAGTTATCTAAGGACACCAAGCTTGGGATATTAAACAAGTGCCCTTGGCAGGACAGAGCCTGCTCTCTGCCACAGAAACCTGAAGCAAAAGAGATTGGGCTGCTTTTTTGGGAATGCTGGGTCAGGAACCTGCTGTCTTAAACCATTTCAATGCTGTTTCAGGGCTGGGCATCCAGTGCTGCTGCCTGGAAGGATTTAGTGACCTCTAAATGCTGTTTTTTCCCCCAACAGAGGTGGGGATAGGTTGCATAATGTCATGTACAAGGTGGCTTTTAGAGGTTCACTTGTCTAAATCAAGCTCTGCCAAGCCAAAGGCAGTGGTGAGTACAGGTAGGTAATATAGGAGTGGGAATCAGAGAATCATGGAAGAGTTTGGGTTTGGAAGGGAGCTTAAAGCTCCTCTGGTTCCAACCCCCTGCCACAGACAGGGACACCTTCCACTAGAGCAGCTTGCTCCAAGCCCCTGTGTCCAACCTGGCCTTGAACACTGCCAGGGATGGGGCAGCCACAGCTTCTCTGGGCACCCTGTGCCAGCGCCTCAGCACCCTCACAGGGAAGAGCTTCTGCCTAAGAGCTCATCTCAGTCTCCCCTCTGGCAGGTTAAAGCCATTCCCCTTGGCCTGGCCCTACAGGCCCTTGTCCAAAGCCCCTCTCCAGCTTTCCTGCAGCCCCTTTAGGCACTGGAGCTGCTCTAAGGTCTCCCCTTCAGGAGCCTTCTCTTCTCCAGGCTGACCCAGCCCAGCTCTCTCAGCCTGGCTCCAGAGCAGAGCTGCTCCAGCCCTCGCGGCATCTCCATGGCCTCCTCTGCACTCGCTCCAACAGCTCCACGTCCCTCTTGTGCTGCTGCCCCAGTGCTGGATGCAGGACTCCATCAATCCAAAGGATCATCTCTGGAGCAGCACAAATGCATCCTCCAAACCCCTTGGGACCTCAGCTCATGGCCACATCCGCCTCATCTCCCCCCCGGCTCTGTTCCTTCTCTCCCAACCAGTTTCCTTCTCTTGTCTCCTCAGGTCTCGTCCAGATCCCCGTCAGCATGTACCAGACCGTGGTGACCAGCCTGGCCCAAGGCAACGGCCCCGTTCAGGTGGCGATGGCCCCCGTTACCACAAGGATAGGGGACAGTGCTGTCACCGTGGACGGGCAGGCAGTGGAAGTGGTCACCTTGGAACAGTGATGTTCCCCGAGCCAGGATCACGGTGGTTTTCCTCGTCTCTCAATGCGACTTAGAAGTTTTTTACGCCTCTCCAGAGATGCATTGAGGTGGCATCGAGTCTCCAGCTTTGGAAGCAAAGGGTTTGAAGTTTTGTTAACTTTTTTTTTTCTTTTTTAAAAGGAAAAAAAGGAGGAAAGAAAAAAAAAAAAAAAGGAAAAACCCGGGAAAACAGGAATAATCTTAGCAGAGGATGTGTGTAAAGTGCGTTTTCACAGCGCCACTCTGCTCTCGGAGGAGAGAGAAGCCAAATTGTGACGGGACTTTCATTGCGAGGAGATCTAAAACGAAAGGAAACAAGCCCCTTATTCCCTAATTCCCCACTACAGGATGGAGCAGGATGAGGCGTGGAGGGGAATGTGGATACCCTCAGCCGAAGCTGCTCCCGGGCACGGCCCTCTGCACTTGGCAAATTAGATTTCAAACAATTTTAACGTGGACTTTTATAATGACAGCAAAATGAAATAACCGCAAAAAAAAAACAAAAAACAAAAAAACCAGGAAAATATTTTGGGAAAAGGCTCCTCTCTTGGGATAACATAAAGGAATGCATGTGTGACTGCAGGGGGGCGGCAGCCTTGGGAAGGGGGTGATGCTCTTCCAGGAGCCAGCGGAATGCCGCCCTCCCCTCGCCGTGCTCCGCTCGGCTCCCCTTGGTGCACACTGGAGACCTTGTTCTTACTCTCTGCTCTCAGAACGTACCTGCCATTGTCCATCTTCTTCTTTCCTTTATTATTATTATTATTATTGTTATTATTATTATTATTGCCCATTTTTTTTTTGTGGATCTAAACCCGAGTGGGAATGCCTCTGGAGGGGCTCTGGCTGCGTTCTTCCCTGCTTGCCCAGCGCCTTCCCAGCACTTCCCTCGCCAAAGAGCCACCTTGGGCTCATCCCAGTCCCCGTTATCCCCCCAGGACCCCACATCCTCCCTTCCCATCCCCGGAGAGTCCAGTTCCCACAGGAAAAGGTTCACTTGAAGGTAATGGGGGGGCTACACGCGCAGCCCTTTCCCTTTGGGAGACCCCTTCTCCATCCCCAACCTTCCAACCTATCCCTTCCCCTGCCCTTTGTGCATCTCCAAAGGACTTTTAATCCCCAAAACTTTTCCAGGAAGTTATAAATAGGCCTTTGGAGTGGAATATTTGGGGGGGGGGGGGGAGGAACTTAACGTTCCCATAGGCCAAACCCTCCCATCCCAATGGATCTTCCTCAGCCGCAGCCCCCCCAACTCATGAAGTTGTGCATCTTATTTAATTCTGGAGTTGGTTTGTTGTTTTTTTTTTTGGGGGGGGGGGTGGTGTTAAAGTTTTCTTTCCACGTGCCCATTCACAGATTCCTCCCCATCCCGCTCCACCTTTGAGGGAGTCTTCAGGTTTTCTTGTATTCCCTTGTTTTCTATGGACAAAAAGAAGCGATCCCAAACGTTCTTTGTACACGTTCCTTCCGTGCTGTTCGACAAGGGGGAGGGAGATCTTCCCGTCGAGGCAGTCCTGGTTCTCTCCCTGTGGGTGACCACCGTGCGGAATTCTTTGGGAATGATTATTTTTCTATTGTCGTTGTGAAGATGTCGGTGGCTTTTCCAAGTCAAGTGCTCCTTTGGCGATGAAACGATGCCCTTTGTCCCCCTGCCCTCCCCACAAAGAGGCACAAACCAGGCAAGTAGCAGAGCATGGACCACCCCCACCCCCCCTTTGTTTTTCCAGTGTCTATTATTGCTTCATTCAATAAATTGTTACAACTGTGTCTACCCCTGCCTCCACCTCTCCTGTTTTGGGGGGGTTGGGGGGTTTTGATGTATTCTGCCATCTCCTCCATCCCTGGTGGGTGTTTTGGGGCTGGTCCTGCACCCCCCGGCGCTCCCCACGCTGGTGATGTTTGGGCTGGAGAGGAGCTGAGCACAATGGGATGATGTAGGGGCTTGATCCTTTCTTTATCTCTTTCTTTACTCCTTTTGACTCTTCCAGCAGCAACCTGGGGCTGGGTGGGAACCATGGGGGTGCTTGAGCATCCCCGCTGTGCTCCCACCAAGGGCTGAGCTTTTGGGTTGAATTCCTCCATTTTCAGCCCAGATGCTCTCACCAGCGACCTAGGATGTGTTATTTGGAATGCCCCATCCCTGGCAGTGCTCAAGGCCAGGCTGGACACAGGGGCTTGGAGCAAGCTGCTCTAGTGGAAGGTGTTCCTGCCCGTGGCAGGGGTTGGAGCTGGATGAGCTTTAAGGTCCCTTCCAACCCAAACCATTCCATGGCTCAAACCCAAAGAGGAGCAGGGGAGGCAGCGATGGGTTTCAGCAGCTTTATTTGAATGTGGGTGCAGGATCAGTGCTCCAGCACAGGGATTCCTGGGACTTCTTGTAGCCTGGGACAAGGAGGAGAGCAGAGGAAAGCCGGACAGAGGGAAGGAAGAGGTGAATGTGGCTGTGTTCCAGGCATCCCTGACCAAACAGGGAGCCAATCCCCATCCAAGCTCAATGTCCTTGGACATTAAAGATGCTGCATCCGATGGGAGGGCAACCCGGGCATCCAGGCACCCCTGGGGACCCCAGGACATCCCTGCCCATGCTGGGATGCCCCAAAGAGCCCCAGATCTGGCAGTAATGGGGCGGTTGGGGGGGGAGCAGCTCGGCCTGGCAGACGCTGCCATGAGGCTCTAATCTCTGTTAATCTCTGTAATAAGCAGGTCGGGGCCTCCCGCTGGGCTCCCTCCCTCCAGCTTCCCATGTCCCGGCTGGGAAGAGGCTGCTGGGGCTGGGTCCTGCTCCTCTCCCCAACCCGGGCACTAAGGGGGGGGTCCTACCCCCCCCCCATCCCGTCCCGTCCCATCCCTGCTTTGCTTTAGGATAGGCCCCAAATGGCAGGATTTGACCCATGGTGGGTGCCCATGGGGGACTCGGGGTGATGGGAGGGCATTAGGGGTGCCGCCCTTTGAGGGGTGGAGCCTTTGGGAAGGGGGTGGGGCTTGGAGGTGGGGCCTTGGGGGGGGGGGGGGGCTTGGGGGATGCTCCACCCCTTCCCCCCCATTGCTGAGTCGACTGGGGGGGTTAAGCCCAGCACTGGGGGGGGGAGGGATGGACAGACAACAGGGGAGGTGGGGCAGTGGCTGGCTGGCTGGCTGGATGCATGATGGATGGATGATGGATGGATGGATGTTGGATGGATGGATGGATGGATGGATGGATGGATGGATGGATGGATGGATGGATGGATGGATGATGGATGGATGGATGGATGGATGATGGATGGATGGATGGATGGATGGATGGATGGATGGATGGATGGATGGATGGATGGATGGATGGATGGATGGATGATGGATGATGGATGGATGGATGGATGGATGGATGGATGGATGGATGGATGGATGGATGATGGATGGATGGATGGATGGATGGATGGATGGATGGATGAATGGATGATGGATGGATGGATGGATGATGGATGGATGGATGGATGGATGATGGATGGATGGATGGATGATGGATTGATGGATGATGGATGGATGGATGGATGGATGGATGGATGGATGGATGATGGATGGATGGATGGATGGATGGATGGATGGATGGATGGATGATGGATGAATGGATGATGGCTGGCTGGCTGGGTGGATGGATGGATGGATGGATGAATGGATGGGTGGGTGGATGGATGGATGGATGGATGGATGATGGATGGATATCTACAGGACAGACCAGTGGATGGATGGAGAGATAGATAGATATCCACAGGACAGACCGATGGATGGATGGATGGATGGATGATGGATAGATGGAAGGATATCTACAGAACAGACCAGTGAATGGACAGATACGCGGATGGATGGATGGACAGACATATCTACAGGACAGACCAATGGATGGACAGATGAATGGACAGATACATGGATGGATGGATGGATGGAAGGACGGACGGACATGTCTACAGGACAGACCAGTGGATGGATGGACAGATAGATATCCACAGGACAGACCGATGGATGGATGGATGCACAGATGGACAGATAAACAGGTAGATGGAGCAATGGCTGTCTGCCTGGACAGATGGGTGGGTGGGTGAATGGCTGTACATACAGGCAGATGGGTAGACGGACGGTTCAACAGCTAGGCAGACAGACAGAGGGACGTATGGACAGAGGGATGGATGGGTGCCTGGCTGACCACACAAAAGGATCAGTGACCACACAGGCAGCCTGTGCCGCCCCACAATCCCTCCCACCTTCCCCAGGAGGGCGATGGAGACCCCCGTCCCTCCATCCCTCCCACCCCCCGGTGCAGGAGGATGATTGGAGCCTAATCCAGCGTGATCCAATCTCCGCGGGCTTATGCCGAAAGCCCCGTAATCACCCAGCACTGCCCTACATATCCCGACAGCCGCATCCCGATGGGGGGGTGCAGAGCCCCCCACCCCCCAACGTGTCAGCCCCTTCCCACACTATCCCTGTTTCCCCCAAAACCTGTCCCTGTCCCTCCTGCACCAGGGATATGTGGCAGCTGCTTCAATGGTGCCTTGGTTTCCCCATTTCCCCAGCAACAGGGGGGCTGGGTCAGGGATGGATCCAGGACCAGGGGCTGGATCCAGGGCTGGGGATAGGAGCTGGACACCCCTAATCCTCCCCCCCAGCTGCCCTGCCCACATCATGGAGCCGGATCAGCCCTTAATGCCTGGAGTCACACAGGGACACGTGGCTGCGCTGCTCCAATGATCGGTGCCCGGCAGATCCCTGTCTCCATCCATGGAGATGCTCTGGGATGCCGGATCCCCTCTATGGGGGATGCTCACCACCACCTATGCCCAAACACCCACTGCATCCCCTCACATCCATATGGATCAGGACCCATCCATCCCAGCCCGGCAGCACCCATGGGTAGGTGGGTTTGGGATGCACAGGGTGCCCAGCTGCACCCATGGGTGCCGGGGGGGGGGGGGGGGGGCATGTCCGCGGCAGTTCCCCAGGGCTGTAGTTGGCAAGTCTAGAACCACCGGATCCTGCTACCGCACCAGTGTGAGTTCTACCATTGCCAAAGGCAGCCCCAGGGCCGGGCACCACCGGCCCCGTCTCTGCAGCCAGGCCTCAGTGTGGGGATGGGGGGGGGGACACGGACATGGTGCCAGGCCTGGAAAGCTGCAAGAAATAGGGAAAAACACATAATTCCACCCCCCATAGCCAGAAACACCCGTTCATGGCCCCAGCAGATCCCCCAGGGGGATGCTTGGCTCAACCCCAGGGAGATGCCATCAGTGTGGTCCAGGAGCGGAGAAGGAGCAAGGATCCCATCCTGCTTGTGACAACCACCATGGGGACATGGCCTAGATGCCTCCACAAGCTGGGACGGACACCCCGTAATAGCACCCATGGACGGGGTCTGACATCCATCCCTGCACCAATACCGGGCTGGTTCCCACCATCCCTCAGCATCCCCGCACCGCTCCCACTGCCCAGCACCGATGCTCATCCGCGTGTGTCCCCCCCCTCCCGGTGCTGCTCTCTCCACCCTCTCCCATATTGGCACTACACATAATTGCTCAAAGGCTACAAACAGAAGCAAAAATGTGCTAGTGCCAAAGCGGGCGAGGGGACGGCGGCGGCGGCGGCCCCGTGGCGCTCGCGGGTCTGTCTCTGCTCTGTTTATGGCCCTATGGTAATTCACTGACCGCGGGGTTGCACAGTGAATTCTACCAGTGCCATACACAGAACAGGAGTAGCGAGCTCGCACCTTCTCCCATTATCCCTTCGCCCCCGCCCCGGATACAGGGAATGTCCCCAGCCCGAAACGGCAGTGGAAATAAAACGGGGATAAAGTAGCTTTGGAAGCTGCCAGTGAAGGGAGATGCTGGTCCCGATGCTGCACCTCCGGGAGGATGGGGAAAAGCCGGTCCCCAGCGTGGCTGGTTTGGTGCTGGCTTTTGGGGAATGCTCCACAATGGGATGGGGATGAGGGAATGCCAGGATCTGCCTTTGGAAGCCATTTCCCAGCCATCACCATTGCAGAGGGCTCAGCCCCAGGTGCTGCTGGACGGCTTCAAGCCCCGCTCCATGACTTGAGGCCCCCAAAACAGCCCCAACCCCCCCGATGGTTGCAAACCCCTCGGATGGATGCACCCCCCCAAAAGCTCTCACCCCCCTCATGTTCCCAACCATCCGCACGGATGTAACCCCCCTGAAACGCTCCAAACCCCCCAAAGGTTGCACATAACCGGGGTGGCTGCGACCCCAAAAGCTGCAACCCCTCTGCATGGGACAAACCCTCCTGATGGCCCCCACATCACTGCCAACCCCCTGAATGGTGGCAAACCCCAACCAAGCTTCTTGATGGCTGCAGAGCCCCCAAGAGCTTGTTCCAACCCCCCGGATGGTTCCAAACCCCTTGAATGGCCAACACCCCCCCCCCCAAAAAAAACATTGGAAACAGCCCCATGGGAGGTGGAACACCCCCCACCCCCCCCCAAAGGGCACCTGCAGCACTGCAGCCCCCACTGATGGCTCCAAACCCTCCCAGAGGCTTGTAGCCCCTCAGATGCTTGCCAAGCCCCCCCCCCGGGTGGCCGTGACCCCCCCCAGGCCACGCCGCTGTGGCCATGGCAGCAGTGCAGGAGGAAGCACAAAGTCTCCTTTGTGTCCGTGAAGCCGAGGCCCTATCGAGCCCAAGCGGATTCGGGATGAGCTCCGGGAGCCCCTGATCAGGTCAACGGGACCTGAACCCCATTGGGGATGCAGCCACCGGCCCCTCCATCACATCCAGCCTCAGAC